GGGACACGTGGTGTTAAATGGGATGAGGTAAGCTCCATTTTCAGTCGGAAGTATTGTCTTTGGGATTTGACAGAAACGACTAATGACGTCATCAATTATATTTTTTCCTGTTAAAAAGTTCTCTTTTTTCTAATAAACTTTAATTAGAGAAATTTTTCTGTATTATTTCCCGTTTAAAAGTTATAAGCAATATCGTTCTATAAAGAGTCTCAAAAGAAATACCACCTAAAAGTAGTCGTTGGAAAATAATTGAATGTTCGTTGTTTAAAGTGCATAAATGTCACAAAATACTTGGTTTGCCCATAGATTTTTCATTACAAATGCAGTGTTTGGTTTCAAACTTTTAACAATAGCACATAACAATAGCGTTGTAACGTAGTCTTGATATTACTGTTTTAGTAATTTTTAATTTTACCAGAATTTAATTGCCAACGCGAAGGAAATTAAATCACTATTCAAAAAAAATTACTGGTCACGTGACTTGTAATCATTTATGAAAATTCATAGATTCGGTACTTACGCTATATTCTAACAAAGCGCAACCAAACATCCAGATTAGGTATTAGCCGTTGTTTTCTTTGACCTCTAGGTACTGTTTATCGTTACATATTACAAAACAAAGTCCTCCGCCGCGTCTGTCTGTCTGTCTGTCTGTCTGTCTGTTCGCGATAAACTCAAAAACTACTGCACCGATTTTCATGCTGTTTTCACCAATGGAATAGAGTGGTTCTCGAGGAAGGTTTTAGTATATAATTTGTTAAGTTTTTGTATACATTAACGATATTTGTTGGAGGTGTCGGAAAAAATAAGCCGTCTGGGAATTTTCAACGAAAACGCTGCCTAAACCCTTTGAGATATAACAAAATAATGTATGGTGGAATTGTGTATCATATATAGGTCTACAGAAAAGTTCGCGATGGCATATGTCTATATCTTAAGGATAACATACTATATCCATTTGAATACTTTAAAAAATGAGCAATTATAAAGCGTAACTGGAAAGCTATTTACACAAATGCGGTATTAATCCTTATCATTTTAAATACGTTAGTTGGCTTGAGCATTTCATGAAGATTATTTTTCCCTTTACACCATGCAAATTAAATGAATACCTTAGAAGATATAGCAAAATCAAAATAATGCGCAACGAAATTAATTTCGTGTCGCCGTGATTCGACCGGGCCGCGCGGGCGCCCCGTGACCCCGCGCCACGCGTCCGAGCCGGGGGG